TTTAAAAGGGTATTATTCAATTTAGTTGGTTTAAGATGGCATTGGGCCTAATTTTCTCAAATAAAAACATATCTTTTAACCTTATAATTTAAAAATATTTTTGTAATCTTTATTTATCATTTTCGTCTCTAATATATCACGTTGCGCTTAAATCGTCCATTAGCTACAATACGAGTACCAACCAAGAAATTTACTTGAGAGACAACATGTAACAAAATAGGGATGACAACAAGACAGGTATAATAGGGTTGGTCATTTCCACCCACGTCCCGTCGAGTTTTTTTGTCACCTTCCTATTTTCCCCATATCCCGTTAAAGTGGGACAAGTCCCCTGCCCCATTTATCGTCGCGTTTAATTTTTTAATTTGTTTATTTATTTATTTTATTTTTTGTTTTTATTTTTATGCGCCCATTCGACCCCGATTAATTTATGATACATTTTTTTTCTCTATTCTTTTTAAACACACATTTTCCAATAAAATAATATTACACATAAATCAAAAATATTTTCTTATTTCTCAACCACACATTCTCTAAAAAATACTATTCCAAAAATTATAATATTAAATAATGGGGGCCAAACGGATCTTTAGTTAGTAAATACATATATTTTTTCAATTTGTTAAGAATAATTCACAGTTTCTTTAAAAATGGTGATAAGTCTTTATTTTTATTTGATAAAAAATAAAATTTGAAATTAACTTTAAACGGAACAGATAACAAGGATTATGATTCTTGTACTCGTCCCATATCCATTTCGGGCAATGGTTCACATCTCGTGCCTGTCCCGTTTACTCGGTTAAATGGTAATTTCCGCTCCATTCAAGAAGAATCCCGCGAATATTGGGTTGGAACATGTTTTTTGCCATCCTTATAACTAAAAGTGAAAGTCATGAAATTTGAAACTAAAAACTTTAAAATTTAGGGACCGAATTAAAATTTTACTGAAAATTCAATTACCCAATTGGTTTACTACCTCGCTTCCCTTCCATAGAAGGAAAAATGGAGTGCGCCGGAAGGGGAAGCCGGAGCCCGTGCTCGGGCCCGGCCACCAGACCCTGCAGTCGCTGCCGAGTCGTTGCCTATTGCTCCATTTCTCACCAGGTCTTTTCCACATACGTACATATATCATGTACTGTGCGCGAGCGATCGCGTGCTTTTTTTTTTTCCTACTGTAATTAGATGTATATATTTAAGCTCTTGCTCGACTATCTAGTTTAAATTTTTTACAGGTTTCCCATTGGAGTGTGCATAAGAAAGAGTGTGAAAGATTACAACAGCAAATGAAGCGTGCTAATGTCTTGAGTAATTTCCCTTTCCAATTTACTCGACAGGTTCAGGTTTTTAATTGTTTAATTGATCGATTTATTTAAATTGATTGATTTCTATGAATCAAGTCGTGCTCAGGAGCTTAATTAGGTGATTTTTTTTTCCCCGGTTAGATGTGTGAAAAGCAGGAGGTGCGTTGTTCACTGTTAATAAGAAATGGAATTCACCGTACAGGAATGTGGATGTGTGAATGTAGTTGCGAGGGATCAGCTACTTCTTCCGATCATTCTGGGTATTTTGCTTATTTTTCCAATTTAATGCTATTTTTACTCAATTGTTTGTACTATGAGCATCTTTAGCTGACTGTTTCTATACACGTTTGAATATGTTACGTTTGGGATTTTTTTGGTCACACTGCTTATAGATTTTTGGTAGGTTGCTTGAAGGTTGGAATCTTCCAAGTGCATTATGCCCTTGTAAAGGTGTTATTATTTTGACAACTGATTTTTTTTTTCAATCACATTACATCCCAGGTAACAAGATTTATAAATACATAATAATCATGCAGGGCCTTCTTCTCCAATTCCCGAACTAACAGGTTGGAAGGATTACTATGAATGGAGGTGCATCCCACTTTGTTCTCCTGCTGCTTTACTTCTTCACTGGGTATGTTATGTATTAATCCGTGTGAATCCATAAAATTTTGTTCTTTGTATAAACTTCAATTTTGTCTATATTTAGTTACGTATACTAGTACTCTATTTTACATTTTGTTGTCTTAAATTCACGAGTAAGGAGCTCTCTAAATATATATATATATTTTTTTTTGAAAAAATATCAACTTCAGATATTTATCAAGCTCTAAAAATATATATTCCTGTGATTTTGCATGTATATTTTGGTAAAAATGATTGCGGGCTATAAGTACTGTTTATGTTATTTGTTGTTCCAGCCACTCACAATATATTGGGCTATTCGGCTTGCAACTTTTAAAAGCTTGATTCCTGCAATTGGTAATGAAATGCGCATACATTACCTAGGTATCTTGTCTTCTTCCCATTTATGCATAGTTGTGTTCAATTAGTAGTTCTGTTCCAAAATTTAGTCTGTTTCCTTGTCAAGATACTCTTATTCCACAAATTGATGACATGTGCTACTTATGGAATGGTGGTTATCTCAGTCCCATAGCCACGCGATTCTGTAGCTATGGGGACGCCTAAATTTAAAAGCATTTTATGAGCATGTTGGTTTTGTTCATTTATTGACAGCATTACAGTTTTGCCTGAAGAGAACTTCTGATTTTCGACACAAACAGAGACTCTCTGCCTTGACAGAGTTTCTTTTAGTATGAAAAGGGACAAATTTGTATCTTGACTTGAAATGGAGTTGGAAATCTGATGTGCCTAGTGAACTTCATTATATTTTTTATTTCAATATTTTATACATATAACAAAAGTACTTCTGAAAATAGTAGAGTGGAGAAATTAACTATAAGGGGTTGCTCAATTGGTCAAGGCTTGGGTTTGCTCCCTAGTAGTCACCAGTTCGAGTCCCCTCAGGGCCATTGAGATGAGTATCTGACCGTAAACTTCAGAACCCCATGGGATTAGTCGAGGTGCGCGCAAGTTGGCTCGGACATCCACGGTTATCCAAAAAAAAAAAGAAAATAGTAGAATGTGGAAAATACAATATCAT